GTAGTGGTCAAAATTGTTCGCCGAAACGATTTTTAGTGTATTATTTTCTCTCGCTCGAACAATGCCCTACAAAGATTGATACACTATGGGTTCTCTTGTTTTTATATCCTCAAGCCTTGAAAAATCAGGATAAGAAAAGAATTTTGAGACCACCATTGTTTTTTTCCGGCAAAAAAGAGAAGCACAGAAAATCGTTCCAGCGAGCCTTTCGACCGCTACTGTATTTCAGCAGTATCAGCTTGCCGTGAAAATTGCCTTGGAGCAGCCTTTTCATCTTTTTTATCCACTTTCAACCACATGTCAAACTACGAGTGCTAGTATTCTGTCTTCCATTACTTAGTTTCAACTATTATAATTGTTCACCGCTAGGAGGACCGAAAGATACCCAAGTAATGATTTAATTACAACACTTTAGGAAATGCGGCGCGGTCAAGCTGTAGAGGTGAAGAGACCCACATCACGGGAAATCATCCGAAAGGTGATCAGATTATCTTCCATCAAAATTGTGAAATGCGTAAACATCCCATTAAATCACATGAACACGAGCGAGGACAGCGTGCGCCACGATGACACGAACGGCTTAGCAGTATGGTTAATTGATGCCAACGTAACCACTTTCACCGTGGAGTGCGCAGTGTGCCACATGTTTTCGACTTCTTTTCGACGTGCCCACTTGCCATTTTCTCTGCGCAATCCGCAACGAGAGCCACGACTAAAAAATGGGCGTCAACTGTGCGGACCACCACGCTGAAGAAAGTAGAGTATGGTGGGATGACGGCGCAGCCGCGTTTGAAAACAAGTGCGGCTCTTCCAGCGAGAGGCCCTTCGCTTCAATTCCTTGACAAATTCACGTGGCAGTTTGTGAGCACCATCTCAGGCCTCATCGATCCAGCTAGGTCTCATTCAGGGTTTTGAGGGAAGTTGAAACATTTCTCTACCAAAAACAAAAAAAGTTTCCATTCCGTGTTGAAGGGAAATGGCTCCTCTTGGATCAGTTGACTGGTTTTTATGCATGGCAGCCTTCCTTGGACACAGTTCAAAGAGTAGTCATCCGCCCAACGCGTCCAAGCAGGGAGACCGATCGTATGACCATGAAAAGCCTAAGTAACGACCTCCTGGACGTAGGCGATACCGCGACGCAATCCCGACGCCAGCATAAGCTTTTATTACAAACATCCGCGAACTTGTGGTGCAAAGTCAAACCGCCCAAGATGGCCATGTCGCTGTAGAATCATCTACAGGACAGGGAGAGGGAGAGCTGGTCTTCCGTTTCCTTTTGGGAACGAAAAGTTGTGATCAGCACCAGCAGCGTTTTTCTAGAAGGATAGAAGGTCTGAAGAACCTCGAGAAGTTTGGCAAATGGCACTGTCTGACTGCATCAATCACATTGGCCCATTAGCCCCTCATCAGCTCAGTGGATCTTGAAATCCCAGAAGTCGAAGGTGAAGAAAGCTAGAGGCGCAGGGTAAGCACTGGAGGATTTCCTATCGGAAAGGTAACCGGAAGAAATTCATTTTCTGGGAAAGGGAAGGAAAAATCCCTCGTTATCTGGTCTAACTTGCTCTCGACCCAGCATGTGCTTTTCCTGGCAGATATTCGCCAAGGAGTGAGACAGTATCCTTGTCAGGCAATGTTCATAGATTCTCACTGATCAGCAACACATTTTTCTTTTAGGATAGGCTAACACCTGACACAACGGAACGAGTGGTCGAGAAAAAGCTCGGTTCTGCGAACGAATCTTCATCTTCCGATATTATTTTCGACGTAAGCTGTATTTTTATTTTGAAGGGGAATTTCACGATAAGGACGAAGTTCGAAGAAGAGGAAACTTACGTAGTGGAGAGACAAGTGGAGCTCCTAAGAGTGCGGACCGACACGCAATTCGCAAGAAAAGGTTTGACCTCGGACCCACTAGCATGACTAACTCTTGGCGCAGTTAGTGCGGTACGCCTACGAGCATAGTACAGAGAGGGTTAGCGCTGAAGAAAGCACGATGAGAGTTGCATCAATGCGGAAATCAGTCGGCAAGGAAGTGGGCCCCTCGAGTCCTGGATCGCTTGTCATGGTTTTTCCTTAATCCCGTACCACTCACCGCCCTTAACTTAATTTTAAATAGGGTGCTTTGAAGGAACTGGTTATTAAATGTCACTGATGGTTCTATGTATGAATATGACATTCATCGTTCATGTTAATTCCCACTTTGCGCAAATTTAGAAACGCCAACTCGAAATGCAAAAATTTGTCACCTCGAGGCATCGAACCAGGCACCCCATTTTCTGGTGTTCAGAGGGCTGTTTAAAGGCGAGAATCAAAAATAGTTTGGTGGGATGATTCCACTCTAAAGTGAAAGTAGGGCTGTAAGGTGGACCGGCAGTGGAGAAAAAAAAGAAGAAAATCCTGAAATACACAAGACATATGAGCATTTCGCTCCATGCTGTGGAGAAGTTCAAAAGACAGGCAGGGAGATGAGACAATGTGGGCGCGGTGAGTGGTAGAGAAGTCCGTGAAGAGAGCATAGCAGATCAGCGCAGCGACGCAGACAAGATATCGAACGGTGGGCCAACTATGTCAGGTTTGGTGGAGTCTGTTAGAAGTCCATGGCGCCTAGGGTCCTAGTGGCGCGTTTCGATGTAGAAAGGTTGTGTTACCTTTTCCCTTGCGTACCCAGCACTTCTAGCCATAGTAAGGGCTTCCTAGGTGGTTCCGAGCCCGAACTTTGCCTTTAGGAAAAACTAGCCCGTGGTTCTTTGGTTTCCGCATGTGTCCCTATATCATGCATAAGACGGTTTTGGAAAAGCTCAGTACCCCGTGAAAGACCTTCCTGGTAAGTTAATTTGCTATGAGCTGCTTTTCACCGCAGAATTGGCCTTAAAATGTTCCAAACATATATTTTTAGGGAACAGTTCAACCAGCGACCATTTACGGCAATACTGACGTCGTTATTGAAAAAACATGAATTCCAGCATCGATATTTTAAGGAGGTAAGCATCTTACTATACATAGCACTAACTAATTCACGATTAGAATGAAGGTCAAAGAAGGAGTAATTCACTTAGATGAGGGACCCGCGGACCTCCTAAGGGTGCGGACTGGAGCGCAATTGGCACCGAAGGAGTTGGCCTCAGCGACCTATCAGGCTTAATCTTGGCGCGGTGGGCCAGTGCACGCCCACCGATCATCTGATCACTCGCCGCTGGTCTATACATAGCGAGTGATCAGACAGGTGAGAGAGCGTAGGATTGAAGAGGGCACAGCGATGAGAGTCGCATGAATGCTCAAATCAACGGGCAAATAAGGGTCCTATTTCTCGGGTTCTGGGCTGTTTCTCATGATTTTTCCTTCCTTGGTGTAGCACTCACCATTGCTAAGTTAATTTGAATGGGTTGCCTATCCAGCGTGTTTTCGTCCTTTTAGCTGACGATGAGAGGTAGCTGTGCCAGTATCTACCGCCTTTCTCAGTCCTATGTGGAACATAGTAGTCTGCGCTGACTGGACTAAACTGCCGGTTATGTTTATGTCATGAGCTCGTCGTGACCTCAAGGTGACTCGGAAAATGAATTACCTCGAGGTCACCACGGTTTCTTTCTACTGACGAGAAGACCTTAATAAAAAAAGAGTAAAAGTATACTTGTAGCGAATTCAGTCATGTTCTTGCTTATTCATGCATTCAGTACCGTCACAGTACTGAAATAGGTTTAGACACTCTAGTGCATGTACGAAATGGGCTAATGTAGAAAAAGGTTCCTTTATTATGTGTTCGTAGTGTACAGTAAATTATTAGTCAAAGCTTATTATTTCAGGGACAATGTACAAATCGTTGATTACTGCATAATGATTGATATTCCTCAAAATCTTACAATGTATTAAAATTGTTGTTAACAAACGTATTATTTTGAGTTGTGTTTAAATAATAAACGAAGTACCCAAATATTCGGAAGAACTTCATTTATAACTAGGTTGACTCCGCACACTATCGAGGGAGTTTCAGTTACATTGAACGAGTTTCAGTTACATTGGACAGAGCTACTGGAAAGAAATTGGGCGGCACAACTCACCCCGAAGAGCGCTCCGCCCACCATTAGAGCTTGTTCCCAATCCCTCCCCCTATCTTCAATTCCTCTCCGAGCAAGTTTTAGCCATACTGGCTGACTTATATTTTTTGTCGCTCCTGCCGCAGCTGTGACGTCACCAGCCAGCGTTCGCGTCGGCGGCGCCGGTAAGCTTCTCCCTCCCGGGGCTAACCGTCCGCAACTGCACGACGCTATCTTTTCGGGACCACTGAAAACAATACAGCGCAATGTGGCTCGGGGGAGACACCTCGCAACATCGCGTCAAAATCACGGGGACGCTCCATTTTAGGACTAAGCTTTTAAAGAGGAGAGGAACTCCGGTGTACGGAAGCAATTCTCGTATTCTCCGGAGTTCGTCCCTGCTGTTTTGGCTTAGTCCTAGATTACTTTCAGAGTGCCCCCCCCCCCTCCCTCGAGGCACATCGCACCAACAGTAACTCATGAACAAAGAAAATTATCGCACACAAAAAAAAACAAGACGTACGTAGGACGCTTAAAATGGACAGAATGTATGTTGAATTTAGAATCAATCGATTTAAAGGCATTACTGCGAGCCGAGTACGTTTCATGCGCCAGTGCGCGCGTTGGCGCTCTTCACAATGTTCTCAAGCGCAGAGTATGAAAGCAGCTTCGATGTATACCGTCTAACTCGTATTTGCTTCGTAGAATCCTGTCAAAGCCCTGTCCCTTACCCTATCTTTTCCAGATTATTCGCTAGGTAATACCGATTTCGTAGAAGATACATGAAGGGTAAAACATACAAACCAAGAAATAGGCAGAAATAGCGCTTGCCATATAGCAAAGCAAGTTTGGCGTCACAGGCTATCATGCGTATAACACGGTTTGAAGACCCTTGACGGACATTTTATTGCTGGCAATTCGGGTTTCTTCTCATGACGTGTTCAATGCTGCATGTGAACTATATCAAGGCTAGAACAACGCCTCTCTCTTCTTCATTGCGTGACTGTACTCGACTCCTTCGACCTCATTGTCCGAATCAACTTCTTTTTGTTGAGAGGTAACCCGTGGGACTTGGAGTTCGTCGCATATCTGTAATGACTTTTGTGAGCAGTAGAATTTGCTAAAGAACATTAGAAGAGTCAATCACGCACTTTGTCCAGGAGCTCTGCGTCAATGATGGTAGTGAGATCCAAATTCTTCTGCAGTTTTTGTAATTGCTGTATACAACGATAGGCCTGAAAGCTCATTGTGTGGATTACCATAGCCTTTTCAAAATGTGAGAAGCACAGCTTGGATGTAGGAAGCTTGTGCGCTTTTAGAGTGGGGTCTCCCTTACCAGAGAATCCAACAGCATCTGAAACTTAAAGGCACGGTCTGGGATCTGGCACTCTCACCTGCTTCATCCCCGATCGCGATAGACAGGCTAACAAGCGTTTTTATCGTGCATCTTTTGCGGCTTAGAAATCCGCGACAAAAACGCTAAAAGTGCGCGCGACCCGCAGTCCACACTTGTTCGTAAGCTCCGCTTTCCGCTGACGGCCGCAAAGCTGGCACTGCCTAAAAAACGCGCCGCAGTTGCGCTAGCGTTGCAGCTCAATATCGCGCTTCCCTATAAGTGGTGTGGAGGGTCGTTAGGTCGATTTTTAGAGACCTCATTGTAGATGAAGAGGAGTTGAAAAGAAGGCAAGGCATAAAAAAGGAGTTAATATTATGCAAAAATAAGTTATAAAAAATTATGAATAGGAAGGAAATGCCGCAGGAATCAATCATCTCAGCAGAAATTCTATAACCATACTGATTGCTATCATGAAGTCCACAACTGGCGCTGGCCTAGCTGAAGCTAATGGTCCGCGTTACTAGTTCAGACACCCTCGTTCATCCCAAGGTGGGATGCAGCTGAAAGAAGAGGGCCTTGTTCAGGGCGGGGGTAATTGCTAATTTCTTTTGTTTTCTTTTTTTGGGAACGCTCTGAACCTTAGCTTCCTTATTGCACACACCAATTCTACCCCGGGACTGGCCTTGAAGGAAGAATCGTGATAAGAACGAAGGCCAAAGAAGGGGAAAAGTGCATAGTTGGGAGACAGGTGAGCCTCATGAGTTTGCTGACTGACGTGGCTTCACGGGTTTCAGACCGTTTCACACGGTTTCTTCTCCGTCCCTGCTCCAGTGACAACCTCACCCACAGAGACAGGGTGTTATCCCTGATACTGAGGACAGAAGGGTGAAAGGGCAGGTGAGGCTGCTCAACCCTTTGGAGTCGTTCATCGCCATCATCTTTTCTAAGGCTTGCGAGTTGTCTACTAGAACAAGAGCAAATTCGTCTTTTCATTCTAGTTGTAATAAGTCATTCCCCAGTTTCCGGGCACGATTCCTCAATGAAGTGGTTGGGAAGGGTAACTAATTTTGAGTTGGGATGGGAGAATGGGCGGGCTCGACCCTCCCCTCAGCATTCTTGGGTTGAGGTCTGACTCTCAGCGCTCTTCCAGCAACGAAGTCTCCGCATGGCTTGGAAAATCAGCTCGCTATATCGCTGGTAGTGAAAATCTCAGTTTAAAATGAGCTTCTAGTGTAACTGAGATCTCACGATCGACGATGTCATTTCCACTTACGTCATCGTCGTTCTATCATAGGGTTTTCATGGAATCCAATATGTTTGTGCAGTGAAACCGAAAACGATAAGAGAACTTCTTCTCAGACAGAGATCGTTTCCAAGACGTACTGGTCGGTAGTTGTGTTTACCAGCGTGGTGAGCGATAAGAAGGCCATAAATGTGACGTGGACGTATGATTGAATCCTCGGAGGCGTTTTCAACAAGTGTTTGAGGTTGCAAGACTGCATCGTTTTCATCGGTAGCATAAACCCTGAAATCAAATTATGGAATTCCCAGCACAAATTCATGCAGCAATGAAAGCAGCATTCAAGAATTTTAACAACGACTCAAAAGTGATGAGCCTGAGCTCATTTCGCTCTCGCTTGAAGTCACGTGCCTATTGTAGGGTGCCGGAATGAAGGAAAAACTATGAGAAACGGCTCAAAGCCTGAGGAATGACACCTGTTCTTTGCCCGTTTTTTTCCGATTGCGATGAATCGGTGTTGCCCCCTCGAAGCCGAGCTCCCAGCCTAACTGTGCTGAACGGCTGGAATCAGAGGGCGAGGAGGTTACATACGAGGGGGCGTGCAGAGGGGGGGGGGTACGACCCTACTACATAGGCCGCTTAGGCAGACTCTTCGTTCTCGCGATCACACTAGCTTGCCTGTTCGAGCCCGTACAAGATCGCAGAATGATCTGCACCAACGTATCACATTACCTCGGGCAATATGCTATTCTCCCCGGTCATGGTGGAGTTTTTTTAATGCCATGAGTTGTGGCAGGAGCAATTCAGTGGGTAGAAGTGTTAGTGCATAACTTACTTGGCTCTGCTCGATTTCCCATCAAATTGCAAAGGTCCCTGGACCGGGCAAGCACAAGACATCAAATAAATGGGCATCCATGGGAAATGTGGATGATGGATCATTTCCCAACCCATGTGTGCGCTAGCTTCTGTCTGCATGCAACATGCGGCAAATTTCCACGACCAAGGATACTGGTGAACACTTGTCAGATTCCCCACGTAGCTGACGGTTACGGAAAGAGCCCAGTTGCCATTGCACTTACTCCTTGATTTTTTCAAACTTGGCCAATTGTGACAGATGTCCGGCAATCTCTTCCTTCAGTGCGTTTAGTCCAGCGATAGTTGAGGAGGAAGTTGTACCGCTCGACGCTTCCTGAAGTCCTCTGTCGATGGTTGTTTCTGCGTGCTCCAAGGCTTCAGCAGCTTTCGAGAAGTCGTTGATGTCTCAACTTCCATCTAAATAACTGAACTGGATTTTTGTAATTGACTGTGATTTTTTCGCATTGTATTCTGAATAGCAAATGGAATAAAAAGTGAGAAAAACCTTAAAATGAAATAAAATGTAACAGGCCCAAAGGCAGTGATCGCGATGGGTGAAGGGCGGTGCGGTCTTGATGACGTCATTGAACGTCATTGGTGGACTAGACCTCTCAGCAGCGTGTGGCGGTATCACCCCCAATGCCTTTCCGCCAATGACGTTCAACACGTCATCAAACCCGCAACACCCTCTAATCATGATAATTGCTGAATTTGAGTAAAGTCTCACTCACAAATGCGCAAGCTTTGTAAAAGTTGGCCAGGTGAAGGTGAGAATGTGCCTTGGAATAAAACGTTTCGATTTCACGGATGACTTGGGCATTTCCTTGCCAATCGGTTGTCTGCAAGGTAATATTGCTCACCTGAATTGGATTAGTGCCAAATTATAAAGGTATGTACCTGTAAATAATTAGCAGCCAAAATGTAGATTTCTTTATTCCTTGCCGTGTTCGCGAAAAACACTATCTTTTGAGTATCACCAGATTTCAGAAGGGCTCGCATTGCCTAAAATCAAGTTTGCTGCCAACGTGTAGAGCGGAAAACAGGGAGGAAGACGGTTTTCTATCAGCGTGCGCCGTCGCGTCGCGTTCTTGTTTGTCTTTTGTAAGCTTCTGAAGTTGGTGGCTGCGATCCGCATCATTTTCGTCTGTATACTGCTAAACCCCTAATTTTTTCATTTGTTACCATCAATAGTAATCGATATAATCCCACCAGGGTCAGCTAGAACCCCTACCAGAGTAATGGGATGCCCTGGAAAACTAATGGAACACCGCTCCGTGCACTTGTCGCTGGTAGCAAGGATACCGTAGTGATTCATTCAGCAGGCTTTCAAATAAACTGCGATTCCCTGAGAAGCTTAAACAAATTCAAACATGACGTACTGCTAACCTGAAGCTTATCGCCAGCTTGAGTAAACTTTTTGGCTGCAAACTGATAGTTTCCTTGCTGCACGCCAAGCTCAGCAATGCTTTCGAGTAGACGCTTCCTTTCAGCCTCATTCGGAGTCGTCTCTGAAAACACAGCTTGGTGCTCAGACCAGTGTCAACCGTCACATAAGAGCAGTTTTTCAAATTGGAACGACTCCACTTTGGAGTTCTCTCCCGTCTCCCTGATGGGCAATGATGACGATGCATAGTATCCTTAAGCCTAACATCTTTTGACTGACTCTAACTCCGTCCTCAAAGTTCCTCCAAGACTACCAAGACTAACGGGAGGGGGGGGGGAGGGAGGGGAAGGGCGAGAAATGCGATGGCAAATTTTTTATGTACATATGTCTATCCATTTCGCTGTCTTTTTTGGCGAACATTGAGAAGAATTTATCTGAACTTTAACCCTCTTCTCCTCCTTGCTTTACACTTTCAACTTCCACCACTATCAGCCCCGAATCAGTGAACAAGATCCCCCATGCAGAAATCACAAATACCACCAGACGTCCCAACCCTCCAAATTCTCGAGCACACGGTCGACCCATATCTAAATTATTCGGAAGGCACATACACGCTAATGGAGTGGTGGAGCCACTCCCTCCCCCCAATGTTGCCCCTTTCTTTTTGTTATCCTTGGAAAAGGTCTCAGGATTGTGGGAACAAAATCCGTAGGGTCACACATGTTTGGAGGCAAAGCCAATCGATGAACCACACGTTCACACTTTGGTCGAAGTTAACCTACCTTTCGTAGGAGTCATCAGTTCGGAGACTTTATCTGTCAGCCTAACATTTCGTGTTCGGCACACCTCGATTGCGGCATTGAACTGGAATTCAAAACCTTTATTTGCAGAGAAAAGCTGCGAGGAACTAATAGCGTTTTGTTTAAACGGAAAACGTACTTCTTTTGCCATGCAAAGCAGTTCAACTGCTTTCTCGTAGTTTTGATTATTCGCGAAAAACTCAGCCGCGCGCTGAAAAATACAATACTTATTTAAGAATACACAGTACTGAGAAGGGGAATATCACCTAATCCAAATTTTGTGGAAAGATAAATACCTGGATTCGACGAAAATCCACATGGAATGAGCATACAATTATGTGGCTGGTACCGCTCTCACTTGAGCATATTGTTAGTACAACTTGTTGGGCAAAGGCAATTCTTCACAATAGCTATGTAGCAGTAAAACAGTGGATGCGTAACCGCAGATGGGAACTACCATCGTGGCTCGAAAAAGCCTAGAAAGAGCTCTAGTGGCTTGAATTTTCAGCTATAGCTACTTTTCTAGGCTCCGGCCACCGAGTGTTGTGTCGTCTGCGTCCTTCTTATCACCGTGCTCTCTACCTCCTCGATTCGTTCTATCGCCTCAGCAACTCGGTGTCCGTCAGACCTTCTTAGCCGTAGCTGTACACCACTTCACCGTTAAAAAATGAAGCCCAATGCTAGCAAAATATCCTGCGACTTCCTTCCACTTCTCGGAAGCCCAATTTGCACCTCTGTTTACAATGTAATGACTACAGTTAACAGTTACGAACTGTGCCATTAGAGGAGCAATTCACGAGAAGAACGAAGGTCAAAGAAGGGGGAATTGCATAGCTGGGAGACAGGCAGACCTCACTGAGATGCTGAGTGACGCGCAACTGGCAACGAAAGATTAGACCTCGCATGCTATCTATCTAGCATGGCTCACTCTTGGCGTAACTGGCGGGGTACGCCCACCATCTATCTAATCATTCGCTGGTGGTCTATACGCGGGGAGTGACTAGATAGCAGAGAGAGCGCAGTGTTGAAGAGGGCACAGCGATCAGAGTCGCATCAATGCGGAAATCAACACGCAAGGAAGGGGCCATTTCTCGGGTTCTGGGCCGTTCCAAATGGTTCCTTCTTCATCCCTGCTTCACTGACCACCTATATCCTAATTTCGAATGAGCTTACTTTTCATCGTAAATCCTACCTTCGAATAGTTTTCAATGTTTCCGATTATTCACTAACCATGGTGTCGTCGGGAATGAGGTGCGAATGTGGTTCAGCGTTAGTTGTACCTTCAAGTATTGAGGGTAGCACCCTTGGACACCCACCTTCAACACGTTTGGATCACTTCCAGCATTGAGGTCTTTGATGACAAGATCCAGCGCACTGAATTGTTCCGCTCGAAACGCAAGATCAAGAGCTCTTCCGACCATTCCTGCCTGAAAATTTTTAAATCTATTTCATCCCGTATTACAAGTGATTTGGAAACTTGACGCCTTTTTTTTAGAAATGTAAGCATCATAAATCTTCGTAAGGCGAACCTTATGATAGAGCATTACAGCCTGATGGACGTATCCTGGAATATCCTCGAAATATCTCGCCGCTTCCACGATTTCACTTCCTCCGGCCATCAAACACAGATTAGCCAAGAGATCTCGCATGTCGTGCTCCTAAAAGAAACCTTATTGCTCTAATAGTCATCTTTGGTTCTTGATTCTCTGGCATCCGAACCTTAACCAGCCGGATGGCGCTATTGTAGGCATGCGCCCTGGTGTAGAAGTCGACAGCCTTCGTGTAGTTCTCTTCGGCTTCATAGATTCGAGCGAGATGGAAGCAAGCCGCGCGATCATTGCTCTCCAGGGCCAAATTGGCCGCCTGAAACAACAATTCACCACGAAATGGGGCACTATTCGCCCTTCACTTCCTCACTTCAGGAAACTGAACTGGATTTTCTCGGAATTATGGAGGGGATTGAATTTTGGCATCTTGCTCTTAGAGGGAGTTCGATAAGAGGGACACGAATTCACATTCTTTCTCGAGGATCTCTTTGTAGTTCAGAACGGCTTGTGAGGCGAGCGCCAGGCGTTTTCACGCCAAGCAGTGTGGTATTCGTATTCTACGGGTCGGACCGCCCTCACGGGCAACTTTTAGCAGAATTGTGATCGAGAAAGATACGCTCAGTTTCAAAAAGTGGGGTAGTAAAGAGTGAATGGTGGCGAGAGTGGGGCCTCAAACAACCATTTGTAGCGTACGCTGCAACTGAATGCAAGTGGCAATAAAAGAAACTTCTATAGGGATCATAGTGCACTCAACCTTGGAAAATATATACTGAAAGAGTAGTCTAGCACTAGTTTGGTGTTGTCATTTCGACAGAATTAGTAAGCTACATAATAGGTGCGTTAGGAACATGTACACAGTACCACGTGCCTAGTTTCCCCCGTCCCTGACAAATAAATCCCATGGAATTAGATTTTGCCGGATGGTTTTTTCCTAGTGGTCCTAATCTCAATTTCACTGTCGACTTTTTTTTCTGTGGAGGAGCGGAGAGAAGTGAATTAATGCATCGCTCGAAAGGCGACGAAAATTTTGATACCTCATCCAGTTTTCCCTGAGTGCATTTGATTCGCACCAGTGACATGACGTCTTTCGCAGCGCTGTAGGAAACCATGGCTCCATCCAACTCGCCAATACTCTCGAGGTATCGTGCCCACCACGCATGAAGTTCCCTGCAATTTGCTCTTGACAATAGCTCTCCGATGAAGTGTCGGACAGGAGGCTCACCGCGCGACGAACGCATCATCGCAATCGGGATGGTGCGCTTAGCAGTTCCCGTGGAAGATACCGTACCCCGCAATCGCCCGCATTTTGTGCTTCGTAAGATAACGCGGCGAATCAATATGGGTGTTTCTCATGCTACATTGAGGGAAGCGCATATGTAAACTAATTCTATCTACCCATAAATCGCTCATATGAGACCCAGCCTCTGCGATAAAGATGAAAAATATTACGTTTGTTATGATAAACAATCCGAAACATCAAGAGGAGCTGGAAGGTTCTGTCTCCGGGCTCTGGGCTCGCAAAAAAAGTTAATCCAATTTCTTTTATATGACGCTTCGCCTAAGTGTGGCTGGGTACTTCATGCCATGCGCCCCTTGACTCCGCCCAGGTGTCTGTGAACTGTCCATGAAATATGCTTTTTGAAGAGTCGTTGGTTTTGAGGAACTGATCGTTCATGGTGCTTCGTATGCTGCTCATTGTAATCACACAATAAGCATCTATATGGGGACGAACCTAACCAATTTCCGCGAACGATTTCGAACGAATTTTCCAACCACAGCAACTTAATTGAATTGAAGTAAAAGTTCCATATTAGCCAGGAACATCTCTGTCGCTCAGCGCGTTTTCCGCTCTGCGACTCACGCGTTTTCCGCTCTGCGAACCTCCATACCGACACCGTGTTCGATGGCATCAAATCAAAGTACAACTGACGGTTCTCTCTTCCGTCTCACGTAATTTTCGAGAATCTTCGGACTATCGGCAAACATCCGAGGCACTTCAAAATGATGTGTGCCAGATTTTTCGAAACTGAAAATGAAGTTCTGGTTGTTTTTGAAGCCATTTATCGATCTGGTCAACTGACTTCTCAATAGTCGGCTCAAGAGCTCCCGCTCTTTCCAGATATTTCGCGTAATTGTAATGGGTATTTCTGAGATGAATCCGATCGTGTCGAGAAGCGACTTCGAACGCCTGAAAAGTGCCTTAGTTTTGCTTCTAAAAGCATAAACAGACGTTCTATTGTCGTGCCTGGTTCCAAGCGTTTTGTGCTTGATGAATCTTGTTCACCATGTCGTATCTTCCCGCATTCACATAAATTGCTTCTGCTTCATCCTAAATTTTTCACACTTCACTTGTCCAAGACAATGCAACCACGCCCACCGAAACACGAAATCGATTCTCCGTGGACGAAGCCTTTGGGTACGAAATGAAAGACTCAAAAAATTATACGAAAACCCCCGCACACCCACCAGCATGCCAAGTTCTACGGCCAAAGCGGCGCATTGCAGCGCCTCGCTCTCGCCAGCCTCTTGTGACTTTCGAAGGGCTCTAGCGCCACGTATATTCTTCATATTGCCGAGGCAGACAACCGCGACGTCCAAACGGCGAGTCTTCACGCTCATCGACGCCATGTGTTCCCAAACACTCTCGCTGTAAACGAGATTTTTGCTCCACCCATTGCGAAACAACTTAATACTTCAGACTGACCTTTTGATAAATCGAATCGCTTTGAAAGCCTCGTCCATTTGACCGATCGTGAGATAATAACAAAAGTCCATCATCCCTTTTCGTGTCGATTGGTCACAGCTCTCAACGCCAGAAAACTCGCGCAGAGATCGGGCAATCAGATATCGCCCTATGGACTTCTCACCTCGTACCTCCTCCTCTTCAAATTCCATCTATAAAAAATATTTCTGAATTTGAATTTTAGGGCTGAAATGCGTGAATCACCTTTTTCGTGAAATACAGATGCGGCACCGAAACGCCAACTAAAAGGTCGCAGGCATGAGACTTGCGCGACAGATCTTGCATTTGGATACCGTGGTCCGATGTGACGAACATGGTCAGTATCATATCATCCACCTGTTGGTGTGTTAGTTAACAGTTGATAAATAAGCTAGCTAATAAATAATTACCCAAATAATTGAATAAACACAGCAGTAATCCAATTGATTAATCAAATAATTTACTGAATAGTAAGTAAACTCCTCACGACATGTTGAGACGAAGCCTGAGCGTGACAAACCAGAAATCGATCATCGGTCTCATCCCAAAATATCGGTCCCGGTTCATGCATCGGCAAACGGAATCGTGTTTGTTCGCGCCCCATTTTCCTTAAACAGTTCATCGCTATTATAACTTTCAAGGTAAGTACTAGTTCTTTTATGTGAAGAATTTCTCGAATCTGCAACTCCTTATGAAAGATTTCGGTCTATTTGCCATTTCCAGAAGCTTTGACAGCCCCTGCAGGAGCGGCCCTGCCGCATACGCAGTAAATTCGTTGCCTAAAAACTAAACTATTCTGTTGATAACACTCAAAGTTATTCCATTATTTTTATTCTGACTGAGAAGCGTTTTCAAGTCTTAAGATTATTGTTTAACCCTTGTCAAAATGTAACTGAAATTCAAAGAGCTACTTAATTTCTGTTCCCCAGTATCCTGAGACGGAGACCAAGCGGACTAATATAACTAACCAGGAAGGTCTTTCAGGGCGTGACAAGCTTTTTGAAAACGGTCTTTTGCATGATATAAGGGCAGAGGACCTCAGAACCATGTTTAATTTTTCCTGAACGGCCCTCTGAATACCAGAAAAGGGGGTTCCTAGTTCGCATCCCCTTTGTGTCAAAATTTTCCCACTTTTAGTGGGCTGACCCAAAATGCGAGTTGAAAACCAACCAGAACAATCAGAACTCCGATTTTGGGTCAGCCCACTAAAAGTGGGAAAATTTTGACACAAAGGGGATGCGAACTAGGAACCCCCTTTTCTGGTATTCAGAGGGCCGTTCAGGAAAAATTAAACATGGTTCTGAGGTCCTCTGCCCTTATATCATGCAAAAGACCGTTTTCAAAAAGCTCGTCACGCTCTGAAAGACCTTCCTGATAAGTTCCTAGGTAAAATAAACCCTTGAGCGATTTGAGAGTGAGTGATGGTATCAGAATTGTATAGGAGAAGATTCAATTACTACTCCACTCAACCAGACCCAACCAACCCCTTCATCAACCTAGAATATATCCTAGGAGCTGCTACGATTGCTATGAGATTGTCGTATGCATGGCGCAACCCAAAACGTTGATCTAAGCTGTGTTTTTCAATATTTGCATCGCTTCATAATGTTTTATAGAGAACGTCTTGCATTAAATGACTCATGAACCTCGCTGCAGCTGTGACCGGTCGGCCTTGTGAACTGGCCAGTTCAGCTTCTGCTTCGTACTGTTGCTGATCAGTCATTCCCATGGTGAACGAGAAGTGCACGATCAGGTCACCTTCGGCATCCCACACGACAATTTTGTCACCAATTTTTGTAGGTGTCTAGAAAAATGAAATCAAATTAGAAACTAAAATGAAATAGAATAAAGGGCCATTACACGATTGAAAGAGGATTCCACGATAAGGGTGGAGGTCGAAAACCGGGGAACAGCACTTGTGAGAATCGCATCATTGCGTTAATAAACGAGCAAGTAAGAGTTCTTTCTCGGGTTCTAGGCTAGCTTTTCTCAGTTTTTTCCTCTCATGTATCCTTGACCATCCTAACTTAAGGTTCAATGGGCTGCCTTTTATCGTGATATCCGCCCTTATGTCGGCTGGATCAACCAACCTCTGCATAAGTGGAATGAAGCGATCCACAAAAACAGGATAGGTTTTGGGGGTAAATTTTGCAGCCAAGGTGCTAAAGCCTCGCCACTCCTTCTCAATTGTCACCCGTATTAAAACTGTCTACGGGGTGGAATGCCTCTGTCCTGATCTGAACTCTGCTATCTCGCCTGCTTTACCGTCCTGACGGCCAGTATTTCTTCTTCGTAGGTTTTCTCGCCGTAGCACAATCCGCGCCAAAAAGAGACTTCCTAATTCTGCTTGTCAGTCCAACTCACATTTCTGCCTTCATTTTTAAGCAGAATAACGGTGTATTGTGGTCGAGAAATGTGCCTTCAAGGTAAACTACTATTCATTCTGAATGAATGGAAGCGGTTAAAAAAGTGGAAGGTGCTCCGATACAAGCATGAAAATCATAAAATAAAATTACAGCGTAGTACGCGCAGGCGATTCTGTTTCCAGCCACGTTCACTTTCACCGAAAGGAATCGATAGAATTCATCCAGCGCTTCTACCACATATTTCGAGTGATGTTCCTGTCGGGCTTCTCTGGAAATACGGAATTAGCTATTAAGACCCTGAGAGTCTATGGCTTCGATCTGAAACGTCATGAGAAGACAATTGTCCTCACTTGCCACCAATGTTATAGATCCTCAAAAATCCGGCTGAAGTTGCTACAGCTAACCAGTGACGGCTCGAGTGAAAATGAACAGGGTCGCCTTCCATTTCGGGAAGTGAAAGAATCTGACGAACGGTCCCCTGAAAAATGAGCTCGCATATCTTGCGCCGATCCTAGCAAAATTTTGGCGAATCCAGATTGGTAGGATTTTCGTCATCTAGTTAAGCGCCCGTATCAGTGGTAACCGGCAACATAGTACCTAATGAGCGACTCCCTTTCTTTACGTTATCGTCTCTTGGAAGAGGATTGTGCTTTACCAGCAACAGAAGATTGGTCAAGGCTTTCGCGCTCCGCATAGGAATCCGTCTAGCGCCTCGCCCAAGAGCAAGTTGGCCAAGGAAGATCGCATAAAAATTTTCTACCACGCCACCACTTTGATCAGATTTTATGACGCTTCTGCTCCAGAGTAAACCGCTTCTGTGCAGCCATGGTGAGAGGATCAACCGTCCGCTAAAACTGTTCAAACGAACGGGTAGCATTTGTGAGTTTGGGAAGGGAGGGTTTGCATTTTGAAGTCAACCAAGGTTGAGTGTCTCTGGAGGGGAGGTCGTGAAAAGGAGGTTGCATTGGAAGGGTCTCGACGAATTTTTGTAGGTTTCGACGAAAATTTGTAAATGAAGGGAAGATAGGAAGTGAGCGAAGTGGTCTCAGGATTAAATTCTATAGAAACAGCAATAATAGCAAGGGTGGTAACTGGGGTAGTGATGTTACTGAGACTACTGATGTTGCTGGAGGGGTCGCAAAATTTTTGGAAAATTGCGAACGCGACGGTTGACCCTGTCCACAGATCTGAGTTCAGCTTGCGCTGTGCGGCTCGGAGGGGCATTCACAAACGTGAACTAACTAGGAAATGCCAACCTGCAGAGTTCGGACATTGATTTTGTCGCCTTCAATGCAGTAAAGAGTCTGATTAAAGATAACGACGTCTTCGGCTCGACAGCTGAACGCAGACGACGGAATTGCGGCAAGCGATGTCTGCACGTCGTACGTCATTACCTGAAATAAAAAACAAATTGAAGAACAGCTACCTAGGGTCAGGGAGAAGTTTTTTTGTTTCTTCAAAATTTTCATGCCAAAAGAAGAGAATTTTCTTTTTTTGTTTTTAAAGTCTTGAAATTTTTCTGGCAAGAAAAGAGAACTGCTACGTCAACATAGGCAACAAGCTATCATCTTCAGGAAGGTTCTTCACACCTCTTACAGCGGAGAAACCGTACAGAAAAATGAGATTACGTTCTGTCGTGGGCCACCACCTACACTTACGACTCGAGAACGAACGCAAAGAGCTAACCTCAGAAAGCAACCTACGGACTTATGCTTAGAACATTACGAGTAATTTAATTCACAAAGCTCACCATGTCTTCACTCCAAACAACCAGCTGCTTCTCTTGCACGTAAATGCCTCTAGCAGTGATATTTAGCTTCAGATCCTGATGGACAGCAGACGTGACGTTGACGAGGACAAATGACGAGGTTCCGCTTTGAATCGCGGCTATCTGAATTTGAACTGTTAGTAGTTTTACGACATTGTCAAAGGTACGGTCGGGAATTAGGCGTGCTCAGCTGTTCTGTATCTGATCGTGGTAGAGAAATGGGAAGCGTAAATGTCGTGCCAGATTGCGGCTCAGACGCTAGAAGTCCGCTCAACCCACAGTTCACAAATTCGCGCGCAAGCCCACTGTTGGCCCTGCGAAAAGGGCACAGCCTCAGTTGCGACAGTGGCAGGTGAGGGGTTAGCGTTGGAGCAACGGGAGCTGTTTGCTTGTGGAACTTGTTCTGATTCTTCCCAAGGAGCAATGCGGCCAAAAGAGGGGGGCCTGATGGGGTCCCATTTGCTTCCTTTTCCTTTTCCAAATCTGCCAGCGTCACTAGTGAACGCTCTTGCGTACTCATTCTATCCCGAGGCTTGCCTTTGAAAGAGCGGATCCCAAAAAGGTGCGCTGGACTGCGTGAGAGATCACGCTAATGTGAAGTCATCCTCCCCTGGGCGATTCTTTTGAGACCGCAGGCGAGTGAGGAACGCGCTAGACTCGGCGATACTCACCAATCTGCGATAAATTCGAATATCGCGATGGACATAGACAATCCCAATGCCAAAAGAGGGACCTAAGGCGAAATGGAGCAGCCGCGTGTGGCGGAAGAGCTTGGCTGATTCATGTGGGACTTTACTAACGAGTAGATCACGAATCGAAAGCGTTTAGGCACAGCAGGAATAACTGAAAGCACGAATCAGCTTGTAAGTTGCATCACTTACCTTGTTCCTTAAACAGATTATACTATTCTCCTCCTGCAAAATGGTCAGCTCGTCGTCTGTATTCACGGCTAAAGCCGAGTACATCGGGCACCATTCGATAGAAGTTATCTGGAAAATGTTCAGGTATTGTGGGAAGTACGTTGACTCTCCATTAGAACTCGTCCCTTCCCCTTCCGTATTTGAAGCCTTTCACATCGTTACCTGGGAGCCCACCCCACAATTACCTGGAACATGCAACTTGTAAGCATGGGACAGAAACCCTCTCCTTATATATTTCTTTAGACCTCTGTCTACGGACCGGGAACTCCTTTTCGCCTTCCTATAATTAAAAGTAAACACGGGGAGAAACTGCGTAGGAGATTTATTGTCAGCCAGAAAGTTGCTGCATACTATTCTAAGACAACAAAGATCTCCTGAAATGGATTAGCCTGGTCGACAGATGCGTAGGTTGTGCCGTATTCATCGCCCCCTGGTGGTGATGGGAGCGACCGAGACATATCGCAATCACACTAGCTTCAGCGTTCCTCCCACTTCCTTCCTACTTCACCTTCCCGTCATCAAACTCTCTTATTCGAGCGTACACTTTCAGTGATGTAACCTCGTGGAATGTCCAAAATTGTCCGCAGAAAAGGGCTATTTTTTGGAATTTTAGGCTATTTTTTTTACTTTTTTTTCCTCTTGTGAACGCTACAGACACAGTTTTACATTTGATCCCCTAGACACATCCTTATATCGTAGTTCTTGCCATCTAATAATCTCACTCTCTAAGACTAGAATATAACTCAATTCAAATTACCTTTCCTGCAAGTTGGTTGCCTGTTTGAAGACGCCAAGTGTTCTCTACCGATGACTCGCCAGGTCGCCGTTTCCAATTGGCCACTTTGCCTTTCGTTGTTCCTGCCGAAATCATCCCTACAATAAAAAATTAAAAGTAACAAAAAGACTGCTACTACAATCTTTTCATACTATTCATATACATACACTTATATTTATTATTTATTTAGTATTTCATATGATATACGATATGAGGTAGAACTGGTGAAGATGAAGGAAGCTGCCAGCGTTAGTCAAACACGAATGCAACACAAGCGACATGCATTCGACGCTCATAGAGAGTCATAGAAATAGCGTACTAATCCTAAGCGGATAATTAAAGGCAAACCCGAGGATTAGCCCAGCTAGTAGGAAGGATGCCGCCAGGGAAATTGTGGGGTCCGTACCTTTATAGATCCCCAGCTCCGTTGCATAAATTGCGCGATTAGGTCGGTAAAACCATTACGAACCTGCAACCATCGACCCTCGCTGCAACGCTTCTCACCCACCTTGACTGATGTGGAGATCAGCGTGCTCTCTCGAACACCGTGCTCTCTCCTGTGCTATGCCTTCTTTGATCGCCCTGTCTCACCGTCGTACCACATCCGACGTTACTATAGGTGAAGGCCCTAATTTCAGCATTTCCAATGATTTCTTTTGCTTTCCTTTCCACTTTCAGTTCATTCCGCAACTACTTAGCTCAAGAAGCGCTCCAATAGCGCTTTTACATACCAGTTTTATCTCGGGGCTCGCCTTCGAGTGATTAGAATGAACAGTCGTTGTTCACACAGCGCTACTCTTCAGAGGGAAATCGCTTCTCTGAGTTTGTAGGGTAAAGTAAGCCTAGCTGTCAGCCGATTTTCTGCAAAATGGGGTAGTGACAATGTATTGATGTTCTGCACCCATTTAGATTCCTATTCTATTGGTAGTTCTTTAAGAGTCGCGTGAGAGCCCTTCAAGTTATTTGCCGATCGTTTATCGATTAATAATATGCGTAGATACTATTGTGTAGATTCACCTTTCCGTTTAGAGTAATCCACACATAGGATGACATCGTCCGCCTCGAAACCTTTGGATGGTTGAAGTGAGATCGTGCCATTTTCCTCCGTTTCGAGAACCCCTACTCGTAGATCTCTCTCCTGATGACAAATGAGGAGAAGGTTCTCTCGAAGCACGATCGCAGGATTCCCTTTACCATTTAGTTTCACCTAAACACAAGATCCATATTCAGTACCATGACCATCTGCTGTACAGAAGCCAAGTTCCTAGAAGAATCCGAGCTAAACTCTTCTCGAAAATTTAATTTCACAACTTTCATACCTTTAGCTTTTCAACAGCTGTGGAGTCTGGCATAATGGTCAGATGGTAGAGCATCATGTCACTCGTCAACGCGATTAGTAGCGCCTTTTGGTCATAGTAAGCAAGAAAATCAATACGATAGTCAAGCTGAAAAATAAAAATATCAGCGGAATTCGAAAAAATCAAAGGCAGCAAATTCACAGAAGTAAAAAGCAATTGAAGGTAAGCCATTATCTGCGAGGAAAGGACTCCATCGCTAGGCAAAATGAGGTCTCTATTTCCGATAGTTTCAAAGGTATGTTTTCTTCCTAAACAAATATGCAAGTTCTTCTGCTTCCATGAACGGGTTTCTACAAAATTTTGGCGGATACATCGAGAACCAGGCGCGAAATAAGGAAATCAAGAAAACTGGGGCATCTGTCGGTTCTTCATACACGTTTACCACATCCTCTCCCGATCTGCATGGAGGGCTGCTTAAGAGGGAAATTTGGGCGGAGTTGGAGGTGTGATGGCTTGACGTCTCTTACCAACAGGTTGAAGTTTATTGAAACGGTCGTGGTGGCGGGGAGGGAAAGAGGGAGTCTTTGGGTGATCCGGCTAAAGGGTGATGAGTGTCGTGTCGATTCTCCCTGAAGAGGGGGGGGGGAATTGTTATAACTTTGAAATGTAGCAACGGAACTGCCCTGCAACGGGTTTTTCAGCCCTCCTATGATGTTTGATATAAGGTGATTAAACCTTCGCAAAACTCGAATTTTTCAAGCTTTTTCACAACTACTGAATCACTGATATTTCAATTTTTTCTTTGAATTGCGGAAATAAGGATGAAAGGATAAAGCATAGCTTAAGGATACGCCACGCATTCTGTTTCCATTCGGAACCATCGCAGCGACACCTCGAATGCGATTTAGCTTATACAATGAACTACGCAGACCTATGTATGAGGGAATGTTTTTCCAAACCATTCCAAACGAGCCTGTTATCAACTGACCCACCCTGGAGAACCGGCCTGGTTTGCTTGGCCCTGACAACGCACGACTCAGGACTTGATCCCCAGACAGCACGCGTGGTAAACGGCACCACTTGCCACTATGCCACTTTTGACCATTTGCAGAAATACACAAAAATGATGCAGAAAACATTTCAGGATGATGCGCCTTCCTCATTTCGTCTACTTTGTTCCTTAGGTTGAACGACTTATTTGGATAAAAATATTACTTGAACTTCAATAAACGGCTCCCCTACCTAGTGCCCCTCCCCCCCCCTAGAATGCGTCGTTAAGAGCATAGACAGTGAAGAAATGTGAAAATTAACCCACTTGACAGAGTCTGATACTGCTTGCGTTCCGATCGATTACATGAATTACTCCTCCCTCGGTACCAACAACGACCGTTGACGTAATCGAAGTGGATACTTGAACTGTATTCAACTATAAGAACAATTACGGTATGTTCCAGTATGTTCATCTTAAGCTTCAACCTCACCGTCTCTTCTTTTGGTGTTTGACTCAAGGCGCGACCATCTTCGCCGGTGAGTTGGCCTGGTTGTGTCCTGAACGAATAAATGGGGAACGCTACCGCCAGAAGCTCGGCAAACGGCAAGTTTGTCAACAAACTCGAACTTTAGAGGGCAATGACAGTTTAGTGGCAAGGCGCGCCGGCGTAGCGGCAAGAATCACACGCTCGGTAAGTGGATCAAATCCAGAACACCCGGGTCATTATGCCTCTCACCCTTTAAGGTCATCTGGTCAGCAAGGAAGAAACACTTTCATTTACTATGAACAAGCCATTTGTGTTCAATTGCCACCGTGATCCCGGTGCAAAGTAGCTTCCACACGAACCCCGGACGAGTTAGTAACAACGAATTTTTTTCCATATATGAAGGCTGCTACGACAAATGTGCAATTCTGGAGGACTAGAAAGGCAGTAGAACAAACAGCTCACGCCTTCACTCTCTTGCAAGCTGCGGTCGGCTTGTCGCCTACGCTGCATTCGCCGCATTTTTCTGTCGAACTATTGGTAACCAATTTGTACACAATGCATTTTCCATCCTGAAACAATTCGTACACTGTTGAAGTTGCCTTACCCTCCCTAACAATTATTTTCATAGAAAAGAATGGTCACCTCTAAAACAGCCCAAAGCCACTTGCCATCGGCACTCCACTGCAGAAACGTCACCTTACTTTTCAGCTCCTCGTCCACGTTGAACTCTAAAGTATTCGTTCCGTCTTTTGAATGAAGCATTCTAGCTCCTTCCAAACAGCTAGGCTTGCAACTCTCCCAGTACAAGGACTGGAGTCAGGGCCAAAATGTAGTCCTGAGAGGAACGACCCGAACCTTGCGTATACCGGGGTGTGTACTAACCACTTACCCACGTAATGCTTTACAAGCACATTCCGCGATTTCAAGGTAGGGTTGTCGCATCCAGAAATGAATGGAATGTAATGTTCGCATTAGGTGATACCGAAAGTTGGAAGAACTGCTAAGAATCATCAGAATTACATAACGTGCTGATCACCGCGGCAGGGTTGACCTCAAAAGAGGACTATTGGTTGGCTTTCTTCTGGTAAGGCAAAATACAGTGAATCAACGGGGCTAACAAGCGAAGTTGAGGAGAGCAAACTACTCCTTCAGTTCAAAAGCCCATCAAGCGGCGAGAACTTTCTATTATTCTTGATAATTCTCGGAAGAAGGCTTTTTCTATGATTACCAGAAATAGGACGTCATTTTTACAAATATGGTTACTTTGGAAAAATCGCTTGAGTTCCCTCCCCCTACTTCCATTCCGTCAGACTCGGTCAAACGAACGGTGGTCCAGGATGCCTTTCGTCATCTGTCCTCACATTTGAGGGAACATGGAGTGACTTTTCACAGGTACATAATAAAAATTAAAGAAATCTGGATAAATCGCTCCAAAAAATAGCTACAATTGAAAACAGCTCACGATCAGTAAAAAAGCTCACCTATGCTAGTTTCCGGCGAGAGAATCGCCAACAGTCCATCAGTCCAAGCGATGGCCACCAGAACATCCAAAGGATGCCATGCGATTGCAGAAGCGGAGCTCTTTCGCTGTACTACCACATCTTCCAGACGAACCCCCTCAAAAATTACAATTACTCATCCTTGTACCTTTTGGGTGTGAAGTTAAGAGAACAATCGAAAGTGTTCCATTTGTGAGAATCAGGTCACGGCTAGGGATCAGACTAACTACTGAGCCCGTTCGCAATCCCAATCGAAGTGCTGGTCGGTCTTACGCCATTTCAACTTCAAAAGGGCCAAATGCATGGCGATGCATTGGATGGAGAGATGGAAAATTTGCAATTATGACCCCGTCCCCCATTAGACCAATACCCATGAAGTAATCCTCATCGGCAACTCACTACCGCTGTTTTTACCATCGCTTCCAATCCAGGAATCTCATGAGAAAGGAGGAGTAACCTCCCGTTTTTACAACTCCTACTAAATTCGAATACTAAAAAACGACTTCCACCTCGGAATCTCCTCGACTGATACTTCACGGTGGTTGAGCTCTATGGAGATACAACCGGCAACAGGGAGTTTGAGCTCCCTTCAAGCAAATTAGGGGCTAATATTTTTGGTTGGGAGGTGAACTATCCCTGAAGTCCCATCCCCATCTCAAGCGAGATCTGTACCTTCGATTGTTAAAGCATGGAGCAATTATAGGCAAAACATAGAGTTAGGGTCAAAATATGCCTCAGTAGCGTAACTTCAGCGCACTTGCCCGATATGGGAGAGGTGCGGGTTCGAGTCACGCCAAGAGCAGGTTTTGTGCATAACCCACCATTACTATAATGTTTTCGTAAGTGAACCGCAGCCAAAACCAGCAGTAAACAATCAAAAAATTGCAATACTGCTTGACCTTTTCAAAAATAAAGGAAAGAAAATGCTAATTCAGGGAGAAGCTGCCTCAACCTCTACCCTCCTAGCTATCAGGCGGAATATTAGGGACGAGGATTTTTGCGAGCTTCCATCGCGACTTGGTATCACTGTGGACTTGAGGATAGGTTTTGACCGAGGATTGTAAAGCTTTGGTGTGGCATCTTCCCAAAAGCTCACTAGACTTACAGAGACAAAAACGTTGCAGGTCCTCAGTATACCGTCGACCCGAATACGTTCGAAGAGCAGAGCAAACTCATACCTTATGTGTGAAGAAGTTGATCTGAACCGCCGATTGTACTTGAGAAGCTAGACAAAGCCATCCACTGCAAGGTGACCATGCGAAAAGCTTCTTATCCATAAGAACAGCTCAGAACGTCATAATCAAGAGATAATCCCGCAAGAATACAACAAAACCCGCGCTCGAATCCGTGTCGGTACATCGTCGCCATGACAACCGGCTGACAGCACGCTCGGTTGTGTGGTCCGCCAAACAACACGACCGCGAGACCTGTGAGGACCGTCATAGTAATGAAGCAACAACAGACTTATTTCAAACCTGATTCTCTTCCGATTAAACTCTGGCACAGGAATGTTCTGAACTGGCGCCATTCGCTGCACCTAATCGAGCGCTCACAGCATTTCTTTGCCGATCTTGGTTTATTTTGGACTGTCTTTAGTTTTTGAAGCATTTCACAGCCCTTTGTATACATTTCTTCACAAAATCAAGCTTATGGTGGTGCCATGAGAAGCCCGCGTATTATTTGCGACTTTTCTAAGATCTCAAGATTCTTCAAACACAAACTCAGCCTTCGATAGCATTGGAAGTTATCATTTGTTGTGCGCTAAACTGTTGAAGGAAATGAAATCCTAACCCACTGTACAGGTCAAGGGTACGTTTGAGTAGCAGGGAGTCCCAATCAAAATTGAAGAAGATGTGCCAAACGGCACAGTAACGGCTAGCACCCTATCCCTTGACTTTAACACGTTGACGAGAACGCGAGTTTTGGCTTTTTTGGCCACGTGGGACCGAGGCGATTTTGCGGGCGCGGCCATAACCATGAAAAAGCGGAACTTTTCCAAACTAACTGGAATGGACCTCAAAAGCAATTTTACGTTGATTATTCCAATCAAAACACGCATATTGTCATCCTTGAAGGTTCCCTGCCTACTTCTACTACTATTCAAATCTTCACATTTAAAAAGAAAAAGTAAACGAAATTTATTGAACTGAAGATGGTTCAAAAATCCTCCCTTAAACTTAAGCCTTCGTGACCATTCTATAGGCCACATTGTTTGTAGCTACGTCAAGATCTCTTCCACAGAATGAATGCAAGAATCTTCTAAAAGTATCAGGCCTGCGCGAAAAAAATAAGTGTAATGGGTGCGGGGATATATATCCCGCACGGTCCGACATGGCCTGCAACCCGCGGGGTATATATCTCACGCGTTGTCGTCAATGTGTTAGGAAAGATTCAAGGGGTCGGAAGTCGAGGAGTGGTGAATATCCTTGTCGAAAGGCAGGCGGCCTGAGGGTGGAAGGCGGTGTGCGTTTTGCAGCAAAGGGAATGGTTCCAGCGGCCTAGCAGGGTCGTACCCGCGCCGCTCGTGCCTCTGCCCGCCCACGAATGTTTGCCCTCGCCGTCGGTTCTAGCCGCGGACTCCACAATTTTAGCAGACACAGAGCAGAGCGAGCACCAATGACGTCAGTAAGGTAAGATTCGCTCGAACGTGGAAATCAAGCCAAGAGTGATCAATTTCTCGGGGTATAGGCCATTTCCACATGGTTTTCTTCACTCGCATCAGTGACAACTCCTACCTTGAATATTAATGGGGTGCCTTTTCATCGCTAACTCGCTCTATTAACACGCTGACGACAGCATGACGCGCATGCGCGTCAGAACCTTACCCGATTCTGGCCAGTTTTTTTATGGTTTATCTGGCCTTTTTCATATTTCAAAACTGTGTGCTTGCGTCATCTTATCCGAAAGACTGTGAGTCGATTACCAGCAGTGGAATTATTGAAGAAGTTATGAAGATTGTGAAAAAAATAAACAAAAAGTTGCCAAGGTACACACATAAGGGGCTGTCGTCAACGTGTTAAGCAACATGTTCCCCCATCGTTTGATTAAAAAAACTTTCGTACCAGACGAATTAAAGAAAACTAAACAGTTCATTCCTCAAACAACACTGAATACAATAAGCAAATAAATTAATTAATAGTCATCAATATTTCAGTAATGTCGCAAGTGGGCGCACCGCGCGCCCCGGCCCACTTGCGCTCGGTTGCCAACGCGCTCCAGCGCCATTGGCCCCGCCTCCCTGCGGTCGAGGCCAGTTAGTCGGCGCTACGCGCTCCGTCCTAGCGGCGGTGCTCGTAGGAGCTGGCCACCGGTGGCAGGTCGGTGTTCACCGGGCAACGCGATGAGGCCAGCTAAGGCGAAGGGGCACGTCGCTCCGTAGTCCATGTTGGCGGAGCGCCTGTCATCCCAAAGCCGGTCGTGTCCTTCCCCTGCTCCCCGTCTGGGAGCAGCCCTTACAACCTCCCAGATAGGACACGTCGGCCGCATGGAGCCCCCAGAAGAAGCTGAGCCAACGTGGGGGTCTACTACGTCGAGTCAGCTGGCGGGGCTCACCTCTGAGAGAGGTGACCTCCGGGAGTTCGAGGAGTATGGTGAGTTACTACGTCATAATAAATGTTAGTAAATGTAATTGTGTTTTCTATGTATTATATGTGGGTTTACCCTAATTATATCGGTCTGTTGTGTGTCACTCGGGCTTATTAGGGCTGGTTACCTAGGTCAGCCCGTCGGCCACTAGTGAGTAGGTTGAGCTGCCGACGGGCGCCCCCTGTGTCCCCGGGGGGAAGTTGGGTCCGCTCCTCCGCCTCTCCGGTGAGGCGCTCAGGAGGCAGCGTGGTGGCCCGATGGAGTTGGGAAGCGGCTGCCACCGTTCGCGACATGGTGCAATCGGGCCGTCAAACCGAACCCGCTCGGTTCCAAATTCAAGACCAGGAACGGGTAGGGACGGCCAGCTACCACTGTCCGCACCCCGACCCTCAGTCCATGCCGAAGCGCGGTGGTCCCACAGGGGGACTTGGCAGGGCATTCGACTACTGGAGGCGCCTTCCCCCATTTTTTGCCGTACTTCGAGCGGTGGGTGCATCGATCCTAACCCGGATGCGAACTGGCGGAGAAGGAAATAGGGTTTTTAGTCCGGCAGGACTGTGGCAACAGCTGCACCTAAAAGCCCATGGGCCCTAGATTCCTCTCGCTGACCAGGATGCTCGGGAAGCCCGGAAGTTAGTCTCCAGGAGGCCTCTAGAGTAGCTCGCCGCGGTCGCACGCGCTGCAGCTCGTGCGGGAAGTAGGTGGACCAGCTCTCGAGATGTCCAGTGGGGATGGAGAGTAAGCGGGGCGGGCGAGGGTCGTCGTCAGCTGCGGTGTTGAAGCCGGGCGCCTTCCAAAAAAGTCGTAGAGTGGAAGTCAAGCGGCGCGTGGCGCGAGCAGCGCAGGGTCTACATCATGGCCCGGCCGTGAGTAGGCTGCCCGAAAGAGAGGGCTCGAAAGAACTCCTGTGGACTAACAAAAGGCTACCCTGGATCTGTGCCCTCAGCGCCCTTTAAAAGGTAAAGCCATCGGCTTGTACTCAAGCCCTCCGGCCTTTCCAGGTAACTAGGGTCTCCCCACAATTAGTACATACGGGGTTCAATTCCTTGTAGTTGTAGTTTAGTCCCTTTTCCACCCTTAGGTTAGATATCACGTATTATACTCCACCACTGTCCCACTCCTCCCAGTTCAGCTTGTCTTTGCGTCAATTTATTCCGCTTTTTTGAAGTTTTTCTACCTTTATTTCCGTTCCCCTCGAGATAAACGAGTAAAATCCTCGTCTGCTTAAGGCTTAATCCTCGGCCTAAACTTCGGTCGAATTCGAGTTTATCCCCACTCCGTTGTTGCCGTTATCTTTCGGTCCCTATCCGTCGATCCCTCGTTTCTATTTCAGTTTCCAAATCATTTTTATTTTAACGATTTCGTGAAAGAGACATCCATCGACTTCCAGCACGACAGATCGATATTGGAGTAATTAAGCAGCTTCCCAGGCTTAATCACGCGCGATCGATCGATTCGCGTGGAAAAGTACCACTCTGCCTCAATGCAGCGCTCATCGGGAAAGCAGGAAATAGTACGAGAGCGAGACATTACCGTAATCCTCGCTCCATGGGAAACTGGACTGATAGGCGAACGATTGGCCAACTCTCTTTTTTTTCTTCATTCTAATCGACGTTTGTCTACGATTAGCCTTCGATGGAAGATTTGAGAATACGAATTACTTTCGCCAATCCATAATCCTCCACGAGCTATGGATATACACCTCTCCTTCACTTCTGAGGCGGTCCGAGCTCGGCTGAAGTGCCGAATAAGGCGCGGCGGCAGCTCAAAGATTCGTGAAAGGATCTCCCGCGTTGCCGCATCGCCTATTGACTCGCGAGTTCAATCGCGAATCAAGTCCGAGACGCAGCATTGCGTCATGCCCTTCAACAGTGGAGATGAGGCACTCGGCGCCGTGAACTCGTCAAACGCTTAACCTATCCACTGGGCAATCGGGCCAGTGAGGGGAAACGCGCGAGGACCACAGGCTAAACGAATCTTCTCGTCGCCTTTGAGCGTAGCCGATGGCCAGTCGCCTTCAGAACAAAACCCTAACTACATCAGCGAAACTTAGCT